AAGTTTTTCAAGCAGCTTCCCAGTTATATCCAGCATACACAGTGGTCTGTATGATGAAGCTGTTATCGGAGGTCCCTTTCCTTTGTCGAGAAGGACGAGTCTTTGTCGTTTCCAGACAGAAGGGAACGTTCCGGTCACAAGGCATGCATTGTAAGCATTCAACAGGATGTAAGGAAATTCCTGTGCAATGAGCTTAATCACTTGTGTTGGAATACCGTCAGGGCCGGGTGCTTTCCCTAGTTTCAGGGTTTTTGCTGCGGTTTGCAGTTCCGAAACAGTGAACTGCAACACATTGGTGGTGTTCTTGTAGCGACTCTTCTTCCGCGCTGGGTGGTTTGGGAAGAGCTCAGTAACAATCTGGTTCATCATAGCCATGCTTTTTGGCGGCTCTGGTAAGGTTTTACCCAATTCTTTTGCGACTATATGGTAGGCTTTGACATCGTTATTGAGGTCGTTGCAAATTTCTGCCCATAGCTTGCCTTTACTGGACTTGATGGCTCTATTGAGCTCCTTCTTGGCCGCCTTGTTCTCATTGGAGTAGTAGGTCTGAGCTGAAGAGTGCTTAGCAGCTCTTGTTGCTCGTCGTCGGAGTTGGTGACATTTTTTCCTCAGCTCTGCGATTTCGCATGTCCACCAATATGCTGGCCGGCGCAAGTCCTGTGTTTTACGACGTGGCATAGAAGCATTGCATGCTGCGGTTATATTCTTCATCGTTTTTGTTACAATGTTTTCCGTCTCGCTGCTGTTAGTTGGGAACGGATGTGATTCGAGTGTCACCCGCCCCCGCGTGAGGGATTCTCGTAGAGCATCAATGTCCAACTTCCTGGTATTCCAGCTGCATCTTTCGTAATTTCGGTGTACGTGGTGGGTAGTCTCTTCTATCCAGTAGATGATGGATTGATGATCACTTCCAGTGTATTCCTCGGAGACCTTCCAGTCCTGGATTCTGCTGGCAGTTTTTGGAGTCGCCAGAGTAATATCGAGAATTGACTCTCGATAACCAGGTCTTCTAAATGTCGACGTCACTCCAGTATTCAGGACTGTAAGATCAAGCCTCGCTGCCATGTCCGTAACTTTGTTTCCTTTGGTGTCTGAGAAATCTGCGCCCCATTCCACAGACTTAGCATTGAAGTCTCCAGCTATTAAGACTTCGCCATTAAATCCACAGATGGTGTTCTCGATGCTGGTCAGCTTCTGGCGGAACACGCTGATTCCTTCGTTGGGAGATAAATATACGCTCATGATATACATTTCAGGGGTTTTTATCCAGACATAACCATCCCCAGATCCGGTATCTACGGGAGTAATCTTCCGAGTCACTAACCAGATAGCTGCTGTATTCGTCTTATCCACGTACCATGATTTAACAAGGGCGCTCTGGTATTGTTCGCTGATTATGCAGACGTCAATTTTGTCCTCAGCTACGTGCTGGTAAAGTAGGTTCTGCGCAAGCGAACATCTATTCAAGTTTCCTTGAAGTATTCGTGTCATTTCTGCGCTTTCGTCGCTTCCGCTAGGGCGGCTCTGTATACATTACATGCACCCGAACCGGAGATATGGCACACGCTATCTTTGTCTTTTCCATTTGAAGTGCACAGAAAGCATTTTGGTTGTTCCGTGCAGTCTGCTGATTTGTGGTTCTCGCCACCGCACTTATAGCAGCATTTGCTCCGATCTGGTCCTTTACAGTAGCGAGACTGGTGTCCAAATCCGAGACATTTGAAGCACCAAGGTACTCTTGCCACTAATCGAATGCGACAATTCACCCATCCGATCTTGATGCGGGCCTTTCCGAGGGCCTTCATAGCACTAGCCTCATCGATCTCGCAGAGGGCTGCCCGTTGACCTCTAGGGGTAACCTTAGTTAGGTTCACGCGCCTTATCTCAAGGTTTTCTTTGTAATCTCTCGTTAATGCTTCCCGGATTTCGGCTTCGGTAGACACTCCGTCCAGATCAAGTATTTCGATGGTGGTCATCGGCGTCAATCGCTTGACCGTTCCACAGCCGCCTACCGCCGTTTTAATTGCTTCCGTGAAAGCTGTGTCATCATTGGTCTTTTTGCTAATCTCTAGCAATACTCCGCCCTCCTTTGTTTGGCGTATGGACTTGATGTTCGCTCCGCTTTCTTCGGGGTTCACCTTGCCTTTTATGTTCTTTAGCAAGTCAGCGTAGGTTTGTCCAGCCGAAGGCTTTATGAGGATTGCCTTGGTCCGAGCTTTTTTCCGCCTTGTTTTCTGAAGCACTTTTGCGGGACCATCCTTACGCCCGTTGCCTTCTTGACTCGCTTTAGCCGTTCGTTTTTGCGCACCGTTCTCGCGCGGTTCTGGAGCCTTCTTCTTTTTCCGGTCAACTAATTTCCAATCGCCCTCTTGCGTGGGCTTTTTGGTTTGACGTTCAGTGGATAAGATCGGGCTTGGCGAAGATAATTGCCTTTTTTTGGGATCTTTTACCACTTTGCTTGGTATGGGTGTGCACGGCGGCGCAGTTGTCGCCATCCCTGGTGATGTTTGAGTCGTCGTTGCAACTCGTTCCATTAGTTTTTCGAGCGTGGTAGAGAGATCACTCAGTGCCAGGTTGTACGCCGTATTGATTGAACCTGCTAGACGTCTTATGTCACCGTGGACATTTGTCTTCTTTTGGACGAAATCCAGCAGTTCATGAATCTTTTCACCCAAGCGTTCAACGGGAGATGGGCGACCGCTACCAATCGGAGCTGAATGAAGTCTGCCTCGGTTTGTGCGCACTGGCAGACCCTCGTCAGTTTCGTGTGTATACACTTCCATAGTGGCAGTTTTTGTGAATTTTTCCTTATTTAATTCCATGCTATTAAAAGTACCAGCGCATCGTACGCAGAGGGGCGGGTTGTTTTAATTGGGAGCGGGTGTACCCTCGAAGATAATACTTCTACTTCAGTTCCCTGAGGCCCAGTCAACACTTAGCCATGTCCCGGAAAACACGGACGGACCAGACTCGCCCGAAGCGGTGCAGATTCCGACCTCTGCACTCACTGCGTACTTCCTGATCAAGGCCCGAAGTGGCTGGCTCCTGATTCACTGCTGCTACTTACACCTCGGCAGAGCAAGCTCACATCAGCCGTAACCCAGGTTATCGGAAATATTAACACAAGGGCGCAGGCACTCCCAGTGGGTAGCAGCAGGAAACGATCACGGGTTAAAGTCAAGGTAAAGTGACTTCCCCTTCATACCTCGTTTTGGTCCGCGGAGGCTATTTTATTTCACCCCTATCCGCCAGCCCGAAGGCTGGTTAGGACGTTCCCCGATCCGCCACCTGGGGACGCGCTCGGTAGGAGTTGGGATTCACTCCCGTATGTATGTATGTATGTATGTATGTATGTGTGTGTATGTATGTGCGGATACAAATTTTCGTCGACGATTTCGGGAACATGGATCAACCGATTTGAATAATTCAAAAAACATTCGATTCGTATTGATAAGGAGACGTGCTAATTAGTTTTTGGCGAAGGCAGGTCTAGCCGTTCCGAAGATACGGGGCAAAAAGTACCGAAAACGGTAACTCAGTTTTTAAGAGAACGGAGCGTCCGATTTAAATAATTCAAAAAACATTTCGTTGACAAGATGAAGAATCGATAAAATTTTCATGAAGTTAGGTCTAGCGGTTTTGGAGATATGGAGGAAAAAGTAAAAAAATGAGCCATTTGGCGGTCAAAAATGATCATTAGACATATGCACATCAAATTATCAGATATTTTATAGAGATTTTAACAATAAGTATACATTTTGTTAACATTCCTATGGGTTCCGTACCAATGCTTATGCGTTAGACATTGACGCGTGGCTTACGCGCTTTATATAAGGTTGTCAAATATCTTCCTTTTTGTATTATAAACCAATAGCAAAAAAGCGGAAGGGAGATATTTGACAACCTAATATTTTGTCCTTATGCAGTTAAAGCAGTACGATTGCTTTGAAAAGAAAATTCAGATCTTCCACAATATGTCAAAATGAAGAAAAAAAAAATTTTTTTTTTTAAAAATTTTTTTTCAAAAAAAGTAATTTTTTGTCCAATTTATAGTTTCTCAAAAATCTAATTTTTTCAAAGTAAATTTTTTTCAAAAATCGTTTTTAAAAAAATAATAATTTTTGGTACGGGAAGTTCCAGCATTTTGCCTTAAGGCACGATGCCTTAATTGCCTTAAGACAGAATTCCACTTACAGCTAGTTTTAAGTTAGATTAAACAGTTTTTATTAAATAATCTATATAAAAGCTTAAAAAAAACAGTAAAACTGCTACAAAGTAGAAAAACACAACAATCAACCAAGAAAAAAACGCGTACTATGAAAAACGAGCTCTCTGCTTTGTACAAAATTATGAATAAATATTAAAACTAGCTGTAAGTGGAATTCTGTCTTAAGGCAATTAGGGCATTGTGCCTTAAGGCAAATTGCTGGAACTTCCCGTACCAAAAATTATTATTCTTTTTAAAAACGATTAACATTTTTGAAAAAATTTTACTTCGAAAAAGATTTTTGAGAAACTATAAATTTGACAAAAAATTACTTTTTTTTGAAAAACAAAAATTTTTTATTTGAAAAAAAAATTTTTTTTGAGAAAAAATTTTTTTTTTGAAAACAAAAATTTTTTTTGAAAAACAATGTTTTCTTTATTTTGACATATTTTGAAAATTCTGAACTTTTTTTCAAAGCAATCGCACTGCTTGAACTGCATAGAGACATGTCAAAGCTCGCAAGTGCCGCGCCGCCGTCTAACGCATAAGCATTGGTACGGAACTCATAGAAATGTAAAAAAAAATCATACTTATTGTAAAATCTCTATAAAATATCTGATAATTTGATGTGCATATGTCTAATGATTATTTTTAACCGCCGAATGGCATTTTTTTTTACTTTTTTCATTAGATCTCCGAAACCGCTTGACCTGCCTTCATGAAAATTTTATCAATTGTACATCTTGTCAATACAAGTAAAATGTTTTTTGAATTATTCAAATTGGACGCTCCGTTCTCTTAAAAACGGAGGTACAGTTTTCGGAACTTTTTGCCCCGTATCTTCGGAACGGCTAGACCTACCTGCGCCAAAAACTAATCAGCATGTCTCCTTATTAATACAAATCGAATGTTTTTTGAATTATTCAAATCGGTTGATCCGTGTTCCCGAAATCGTCGACGAAAATTTGTATCCGCACATACATACACACACGTACATACATACATACATACATACACACACACACACACACACACACACATACATCCATTTTTTCTAAGGTATGCCAAAATGTTCAGAAACCTCTGAAACGTAAAAATATATAAAAATTTTCATTTTCGATTTTTTTGCGATTACTATAACTTGCCCTACGGGAAGTTAAAAAATAATGATTAATCAAAATACAGACATGACACTAAAATGAGCCAACTATAGTTTTCTGGTAGCACGGATAAACCATTTAAAGCACTTCGTTCAAATAATTGCTGGATAAAAGAATTAGAAAACCTGGACAAATATATACACAAACGAAAAGACATTTGTAACTGTAGCTACAGAGTTTTATACTATACTCAGGGCCGGTCCTGGGGTTCTCAGCGCCCGCATGCAATTTTTTTTCTAGCGCCCTCCCCCCCAATAATTTTAACTGCTTTAACAGTTTATCATTAAAATTATAAAAATAAACACGTAATTTTTTAAATTATTTTTAATCATTTTATATTTAGTACATAAAATATTATATATAATGTAAAAGCGTATGAAATATTTTGATTTTAAATTTATATAGAAAATCGAGGCGATTCGCGGGTTGATCATAATCAAATATTTTTAAATTTTCAATTATTTCTAACATATGCCTAATATTAGTATTTGGGTTGTGAGAAAATCATGCTAAGAGAGCAAAAAAACTAACCTTTCATTTTTAAACATAACACTAGTATTTCATGTTGGATTTTCAAAATTTTATTTTAATTTATTTTTTTTATTATTTACAATATCCAAAATTGCATCGTAAACTTCTCCTTATTCATATCGTAAGAGCCGAATTGAATTTATTTTTACTTTCCCATCAGATTGTTGTTTTAAAGTTAAATTTTATTGTCCAAAGATCAGTAAAAAATGCAAAAAAATTACATATTTCTTAAACTATATTGAAACAAAAAAACTAACTATATTTGTATCTGTATCATTTCTGCATAGTTAATAATCAATTTTAGAGTATGAGCACCACAATGTATAAAAAAAGCTCAACGATTTTTGTTCTGAAGTGAAGTTTGCTTCCATTTTTCATATTTGCTCCAATTCCATAAACCTATAAGCACGCCTGCCTTCAAAATTCAAAGTTCATCATATGAGTAGCATTTGCAACAAAAACAAATGTTATAATTCAATTTTTCGAAATAAATAAGTCTTTTTCTAAGCACTGACTACCCATTTTATATTTTTGTCTATTATAATTTGTATCTATTTTTTAACAATTTCCGTTTCAACTAAATCAGCTAAATAATTCCCAATAATTAATTTAATCTTTCGCAGATTTGAACTTATGGGATTGAATAATAGATGATTTCTTTTTCAATTCCACGTTAACTTCAAACAAAAAAAAATAATAAGAGAACACAGAACAATAATTTACTAACTTGCGGATTTACTAACTTCTACTGCTATGACATTGCAAACTAAATATGCTTTTTGTATCTTAGTAACCATAGTTAAGTTAGATTATTTATTATAATCTATCAAGTTTTCTTGATTTTATATTTTAAAATATATATAATAAATTTTATTTCCGAATCTCGTTTTGGCGCCCCCTAAGGCGTGCGCCCGCATTTTTTGCATGCATTGCATTCAAGGTAGGACCGCCCCTGCAATACTAACACTATTTCAACATCATATTAAACACATAATATTAAAACAATAAAGAAGAGATCGACGAATCCGAAGTGGTAGGAACTATAAAGAAACTACAAAAAAACGACGAATCTTTGGAGGAGGCCTATACCCAATCCGGGGTTCTTGCCGACTAACTCTATACATCGCGTACTGTGTTTATATTATATAATACAACATGTTCTGTATATATGAGTTTATGTTAATTTAACAATTCCATGTAAAAAAAGTAAAAAGGCAGGAAATAAAAAGACTTATTTATTTATTTATAAAAGCTTACACGTGGTTGAAGTAAAAGGAACCAACTAAATCTTCATCACGGCAAAGGTGTAAACATTAAAAAATAGTAAATTATAGTTGAAAGTGGCACTTTGCAATGTGTAACATTTGACTTGATGAACTGAAATTGAGTTTTAGATATTTAGACAAAATTTTCAACTGTTTATTTCAATAATGCTGTTTTTGCTATCAATTAAATCTAAACATCTCTCAAACACATTTAAATTAATTGTAATAATAATGAATTGTTTTTTAAATCATTTAAATCGGACGCTTCGTTTTTTTTCAAAAACTGAATTACTATTTATGGCACTTTTGGCCCCGCATATTCAAAACAGCTGGACCAACTTTTGCCAAAAACTAATCAGCACGTCATTAATACGAATCGATTGTTCTTGGAATTATTCAAATACACACACGCACACACATGCATCCTATTTTTTCTAAGATATGTCAAAAGGTTCAGCAAACTTTGAAATGTAAAGATAAATAAAAAAAATATTTTGGATTTTTTGCGATTACTATGACTTATCCTACTAAGGAAATTTAAAAATAGAATCAAAATTTGCACTGCTCATTAATAAAATCTTTATAAAATATCTGATAATTTTATGTGCATATGTTTAATGATTATTTTCCTCAGCAAATTGCGTTTTTATGGATATCCAAAATCACTGAATCTGCTTTTCCAAAAATTTAATAAATTCTTTTTTCCGACAATAAAAGTGAAGTATTTATTAACTTCCCGTAGGGAAAGTTATAGTAATCGCAAAAAAATCGAAAATGAAAATTTTTGCATTTCTCGACGTTTCAAAGGTTTTTGAATATTTTGGCATACCTTAGAAAAAATGGATGTATGTGTGTGTGTGTATGTGTGTGTGTGTGTGTATGTGCGTGTGTGTATGTATGTGCGGATACAAATTTTCGTCGACGATTTCGGAAACACCGATTAACCGATTTCAATAATTCATAGAACATTCGATTCGTATTGATAAGGAGACGTGCTGATTAGTTTTTGGCGAAGGCAGGTCTAGCCGTTCCGAAGATACGGGGCAAAAAGTGCCGAAAACGGTAACTCAGTTTTTAAGAGAACGGAGCGTCCGATTTCAATAATTCAAAAAACATTTTAGTTGTATTGACAAGATGAAGAATTGATAAAATTTTCATGAAGGCAGGTCTAGCGGTTTCGGAGATCTAGTAAAAAAAGTAAAAAAAAATGCCATTTGGCGGTCAAAAATAATCATTAGACATATGCACATCAAATTATCAGATATTTTATAGAGATTTTAACAGTAAGTATAAATTTGGTTTACATTCCTATGGGTTCCGTACCAATGTTTACGCGTTAGACGGCGACGCGGCGCTTACGCGCTTTGATATTTCGTCTTTATGCAGTTAAAGCAGTACGATTGCTTTGAAAAAAAGTTTAGATCTTCCAAAATATGTCAAAATAAAAAAAAAAAAAATTTTTCAAAAAAAAAATCAAAAAAAATTTTTTTTTTTTTAAATTTTTTTTTCAAAAAAAGTAATTTTTTGTCCAATTTATAGTTTCTCAAAAATCTTATTTTTTCGAAGTAAATTTTTTTCAAAAATGTTAATCGTTTTTAAAAAAAATAATAATTTTTGGTACGGGAACTTCCAGCAATTTGCCTTAAGGCACGATGCCTTAATTGCCTTAAGACAGAATTCCACTTACAGCTAGTTATTCATTCAAATTGGCTGCGCTGTTCTCTCACAAACCGAATTGCTACTCAATTATTTTTGCATATTTTGTCCCGTATTTTCGAAACAGCTGGATCTATGCATGAAACTATTTAGTACAACCCATTGTTTTTTTAATTATTCAAATCAGTAAAGATTTGTAATGTATACCAAAACGTACAAAATACTTTGAAACGTTAACATGAATATATATTCGATATTTTGGTGTAAAGTACAGCTTACCGCATGGGATTGTAATAAATATATTCTCATTGAATATATTTGAATTTAATTTTATTAAATATTTAAAAAAATGAAAATAAATATTTTTTTATATTTTATATTGGATTCCCAATTTATTATACTTTTTTAAAATTTTGCGTAATTATACTTTGCGTATATTTTTAATTATTATAAATGAAAACTATTTTTAAAAATTGTGTCTGAGCTTCAATACATAAAAAATAAAATAATTAAACTATGGTAATTTAACTGATATTTTATATGATTTACTCTACTTTATTAACTATCAATACTAATAATACTACCAAATAAATTATTAATTGAACAACATTGCATTTTGCAACCCATTTTCCTTGTAAAATCGCCAGAGTCACTTGCAATATAACACGCATTCTTACTGAACTTTTTAGTAGAAATTTTAATATGCTTTGTTATGTTTATTCTTGCTTGTGAAAATTCAATAGAGTTACAATAAATAGATTCATTTTGAGTTTGTGTAATTAAATGTATTTTGTGTAATATAACAAAATTCAATTGAAACGACATACGTGGTAATATAAAATACCCAAGATCCGTAGATCAATGTGAAAGCCATTTGAGTTACTGAGCAGTCAGGAACATACTTGTGACTTTTTTTCCAAACCAAGCTGTTGAGAAAACGATTAGCAAAACCTCAAAGTGATTGCAAAATTATGAAATAACAATTTACCGATATTACGTATTGTTATTCCCATATTTTTTGGAAATAGCGCCCGAACCGATCGATTTGAATTGGTAAAATTTTTACATAAAAGTTGCCGAATATAAAATATGTAATCCAGATTTGGCAGTGGCAAACACCACACACATCGATATATGATGACATAAATCGCATTCACATTACATAATAGATATAAAATGGCACACTAATTTTTAAACTGTTATTGTTGCTATATCCAACATTTTATTGATGTTTATTTACATAACACAAAAAGTAGTATAACTCATTGATAAACTATGTTTAGCAATTATCATATTATAAACCTTATTTTATCTATTATATATTGTTCACATTTTCATACTTAGTTCTTAATGTACAAAAATTGTGTTAATAATTAAAATAATAGTATCCATTTATTTTATTCATTTAATCTATCAAAGCACCCAGCTTTTCATCATATGTAATAACGACATCTTTAAAATACATATTAGGCACAGTTAAAGCTTCCGTATGAATTTGTCTATCCAAGGGAAATCCGAGTGGTAGGTCGTCGACATATCGCGCCCCGGAGCCCACGCCGCAGCTATAATTCGCGTTGAATCCTTCAAATTGGGGCACGGTCGGCGGATTAAATTCAGAGATGAAAAACAAAAATTTGTACGCAAATCCATCCTCTGTGCCTTTGGGTAACAACAATCTTTCGGGAAAGCCGCAATGCGCTTCTGCATTATCGAAATTCCACGTAAAATTATCTTTGACAGCTTCTATCGTTTCCTTGTATAAATCTGCAATTGACATGCTGTCTTTTACAACGGTATTATAATTGCTGGATAATCGCGTTATAATATTTTCTCCTTCTTTTAATTTATATTTGAATACATCAGCTTGAAAGAATTTATCACGGAATTGTTCAAATTGATCAAGGCTATCAAAATTAGGCCCAATGAATACTCTTATAACAGCTTCGACAGATTTTTGGGATGTAACTGTAATATTGTATGTAAATGGCTTGCTTCTAAGTCGCTTTTGTAAAGCAGTTATAGCATAAGATTTTTTACTATAGATACTGTTAGTTATATCGTATCTATAAGTGTCAAAATAGGTGACAAGGTCGTCAAGATCCACATTTTGAATTTTAACTCCCAAAAAACCAAGATTGTTTATCGAATATATTGGTAGATGTGAATAAAAATGATTTAATATATTAAAAATTTTCTTGAATATTTGATAAGTTGCTGGATCTCGCAATTCCGTAAATGTGTAATCTAACTCGCTTGGATACGGGTATTCACCAACAGTCTCAAATGTGTTTACGAGAATGTGCTTTATTGTACTTACATATGTTTTAAAAAAAGTAACATTAACACTATCAGCATTGCCTTGGAATAAATTTCCGAGTTCATTGATTGCATTTGGATTTCTAAAGTCAATATTTTTACCATCTTTAGGCATTACAAAACCAGCGTCCAATGCCTTGCGAATTTGATGTTCATAATCTGTAGCAGTGGTTATATAATCATAAACATTAGATAAATTATTATAAGAATAGCCAACAGATCTATGCGGAAAGTCTAAACCATTATGATGACGCAAAGAAGAATGATACGCAATTGTCGATGTGAAATCTTCCAACAATTCAGGAACAAAATCCAAACCGTTCGACAATCTTTCCAATTCGTACCGTGCTAACAGTTGACGAATCGTGAATAAATACAGTTCTCCGCGTCGGTCTTTATGCAGAGAAAATTCATCGCCAGTCATCCAGGCGGGATAATCCAAATTAAAGTAATAAAAAAACTGATTCAAACCAACATCTTCAGTGTAATACGAGAGCTGTTGATCCTTGCCGGTGTTGATGTATGAACCCGAATATTTTACTGGTATGGTGACATCGTCCTTCAACTCACTCATTTGATAAAGTTGAGACATGAAGATTATATCAGAGTTAATGAAGTAATGTGGATAAACCTCAAACAACGGAGGCAATTCATTTCCCCGAAGATCTTCACGATGAACTAACGCTACCGAAAAAGCGTATACAAATACGCGGTCATTGAAGGTATTCCTGGCCCAGCACATGACTTGATATAAAGCTAACCAGTCTTTTGCGTTGTAGAACACTTTAAAAAGTGCTTTAGCTTCTTCGAGGTGTTTTTCATTATTTAAATCAAATACTTCACTTTTTTGAACTTGTCCGTTTCTAATAAAGTCCATAAGCTCTTGTAGGACCTTGGAATTCACATAACTATCCAAATGATCCTCAGGATTGTATAACAATCCCGCTACGTTATGAAGTTCGTGCGTATTATTTTGCAAAATATTTTGAAATAATTCAAATATTACCTTTTGTTTTAATACACCATTTTTACCAGGATATTGACTCTTTCCTGTTTTTGGCACAAAAAATCCATTACAACCAGATACAGTTAAAATGACACAAAGTAAAACTGTATATAATATTTTCGACATGATCTTCATTTGCGGCACACGCGACACTGCGAAACTGGCTTGTTAGTAATGTTATATATACGACGAATCGAGGTTAAATTCACAGGCACGCTCATATAATACATACATTTTTATTAATTATTTAATTATTCATGTACGTTTGTAATTTTATAAATTGTTCATAAGTAGGAACATCAAACTAAAAACCGCTATCCAGCGTTGTTATTCTATATAATGATGGCAGCTAAAATAAATTTGCTGTCTATTTGTTTATTAAAAATGCATATTGTGATTTTTTTAACATTTCACTATAATAATTTTGTAGCTAAGCTATGAATTTGTTTAATATATTTAGTAAATAAAGGAGAAAGTGATGAAAATGTTTCATTCGTTCGATTCTTATGAAATAGTAATAATCGTTATAAATATAAAGCAAAATAATTTTTTTGATGAACTGTCTTATGAATCTGCTACACTTGACCTTTTTGTGTATTAAAGAGTACGATCAATTTGAAATTATGTTTAACAATCGATGAAATATTAAACTAGACAAAATTAAAAAGATAATGAACATATAAATTTTAATAAAAATATTCAACCACTGGACACCAGGTGGCTCAGAGCGCAGGCTCAACAGTACGCTTCATATTCACAATAAACAATTTCAAATTTATACATAATTTTCATAACTATTTTTTAATATAAAAAATACAATATTTAAATTTTTTGTAACTTCAAAATTAACAACAGTTTTTATAATATAATATATTGTTTCACGAACTAATGAAACTGCTGCCTTAATTGAAGAATTTTTGATAATAATGGTAACTTAAGCGCTTATTATATAGATGACTGAGCTTATTAAACATTACTAAGAAAATACGAAGAACCAATTTTTTACAGTTTGAAATCTTTTTTTGCATTATGTAGAACATGATATACCGAGACAATATTAGAATACGATGTATTCATTGATGATATATATCATTGAATATATATATATATATATATATATATATATATATATATATATATAATATATATATATAATTAAATTCATGGTTCAGCAATATGTGTGCTGATGTTACTCGTATATATAATGAGTTTTACAAAATATAAAAGCAAAATGTGCTATAATAAATACTTGTTTTTTTGATCGATTTGAACAAAGAAACAATTTAAATATAAATTTGCGTTAGTATTCCGCCTTTGTTCTTAGTATTAATTCTACATATGTATTTCAATTTATGTATTCTGACCTATGATTTTTAAATACAGATTGATATAATCGCGCGCATCATGGCCGAAATGTCAATCATAAGAGACAAATTACATATAAAACAAAATCAACTTACACATGATATACAAATATTTCAAATAGAAGGCAAATTACTGGAACTTTTTGTACCAAAAATCATTTTTTTCAAAAAAGATTATTTTTTTTAACATTGACAAAATTAGATTTTTTAGAAATTTTAAATTAAAAAAAAAATAACTTTTTGAAAAAAATGTTTTCTTTATTTTGAAATATTTTTAAAATTTGAAAACTTTTTAAAGTAATCGTACAGCTTTAGCTGCATAAAGGTAAAATATCGAAGCGCGTAACCGCCGCGTTGCCGTCTATAGGACAAACGATGTTACGGAACCCATAAAAATGTAAACAAAATTTACACGTATCATTAAAATCTCCATAAAATATCTGATAATTTGATGTGCATAAACATTTTTTCCGCCAAATGGCATTTTTTTAACTTATTTTTATTGGAAGTCTATAACCGCTAGACCTGCCTTCTCAAAAATTTAATTAGTTCTTCGTCTTGTCATTACAAGTAACATCTTTGAATTATTAAAATCGGAAGCTCCGTTCTCTACCGTTTTTTGGCATTTTTTGCCCCGTATCTTCGGAACGGCTAGACCTGCTTTTGCCAAAAACTAATCAGCACGTCTCATTATCAACACGAATCGAATGTTTTTTAACTTTCAGAAGGAAAAGATTTTATGTTTTCTCGACGTTTCAAGCTATTTTGAATCGAATAAGACAAAATTTAGAAAAAGTATGTGTAAGTGTGTTTACAAATGCCCTCAACATTTTCGACAGTATGGAATAACCGATTTAAATAACTTAAAAAACATTCGATTTGTAATGATAAGGAGACGCGCTGATTAATTTTTGGCGAAGGCAGGTCTAGCTGTTCCGAAGATATGGGCCAAAAACGGTAACTCAGTTTTTAAGAGAACGGAGCGTCCGATTTTAATAATTCAAAAAACATTTTACTTGTATTGACAAAATGAACAACTTGTATAATTTCTGGTAAGGCAGGTGCAGCGGTTATAGACTCTCAATAAAAATTATTTAAAAAAGTGTCATTTGGCGATCAAAAATATTTATTGGACATAATATGATATCAGATAATTTATAGAGATATCAATATTGTGTACTCATTTTGTGTAATTTTTTTTTGGGTTCCGTACCAAGTATTCAAACAAATGTTCTCGACATTTTCGACAGTATGAAATAATCGATTCGTACTGGATCGCGAGGCGTTTTTGCAAAATTTGCCGTTTCGGAGGCATGGAGCGCAAATGGTGTAAAAACGGTTATGCAGTTTTTAAGAGAACGGAATATCCAATTAGATTAATTCAAAAAGCATTTTGCTTGAGTAGACGGTGTGCAAAAAATGCATTTACAGAAAATTTAATAATTTTGAAAATTTTCAAAAAAAATCAAAGTTTCAAAAAATTCAAATTTTCGAAACTTTTCATCATTTCAAAGAAAAACTAAAATTTGAAAAATTAAAAAAAAAGAGAATATTTCGATAATTTTTGTGAATATTCAAATTCGAAAAATTTTCAAACCTCTATAAAAATTTCAGAATTTTGAAAAAAATTATAAACTTTCAAAAAAAAAAAATCTAATTTAAAAAAAAAATAAACTCTTGTAAACGTACGCATAAGATATGTTCATTATATACGCTCGTCGCCCAATTTAAAAATCACTTATAAGTTTACAGTATTTAATAAATAATCTATTTGAAATTATTGATTATTTTCTTTCTTCGAATGTTTAATTACGATACAGAAAGTTCCAGTAATTTGCATTAAGGCACGATGCCATGCGCTCCACTAGTTTTAACTTATTTTTATTGAGAGTCCATAACCGCTGGACTTACATTCTCAAAAATTTAATCAGTTCTTCACATTGCTGGATTACCCCATAGGCCCGTGAAGCCCGGGCCTAGGGCGGCAAATTTTTCAGAATGTCAAAATTTTAAACTAATAGATAGATAAAGATAAAATGTCACGGCCATTCATTTTGAGGATAAATCCTGAACATTTTTTGTAAATTTAGAGATCATTTTCTATGAAATAGAACATAATACGTTTTCTAATCAAATTTATTATTCGTGGGTGCCGCATTGATAATTTCTTGGTGTATCATATTTAATACAATAATTATCAAACTGAAAAGCTTTTTTGAAGAAATATTGAAAATCTGTTCGTTTTTTGTAATTTTGTTAAGGTGAATCATATATATAAAACGCTTTAAAAATTGTTCGATGGTTTCTTATTTTATTTCCGGTATTAAATCAAGCCACGGCGAATTAACACAATATATTAATTGTTGTTTATTAATTTATTATGTTAAACTATATTTTTTGTTTGTATGTGATTTTTTTATTTAAATAAGCCTAAAAAATTGTAGGATAAATTCTTAACTAAAATATCTGACAATTTGTTATGCTTCCTCCAATTGGCATTTTTTTCAACTTTAAGAAGGCTAAGTTATAATAATCCCAAACAAATCGTAAATAAAATTGTTTATATATCTCTACGCTTCAATATCTCCTGAACATTTTGACATACCTTAGAAAAAATGAATGTATGCATGTGTTGACATTCGAATTATAATATCGGGAAGACGTGCTGATTAGTTTTTTGCAAAGACAGTTCCATCCATTTCGGAATAGGGGGCAAAGAGTTAAGAAAATGCCTAATAAATTTTTAAAAACGGAGCGTCGATTTTGAATAATTCAAGACACATTTTACTTGTATGATGAAATAAAGAACCATCAAAAATTTTGCCCAAACAAGTGACTTTTGGTGGTAAAAATGATCATCGAACATCTGCACATCAAATTATCAGTTTTTTATTAAAAAATATTAATTATTACAAAATTTGTCTTCATTATTTTGAATCATTCCGCACCAAGATTTTTAATTTTTAAAGTTTACTTAGATAGTTCAAGGGTCCTTTGCAAGGATCAATCGACATGAATAATTCAGAAAATATTCGCTTGGCTTTGACCGCAAGGCGTACTTTAGCATTTTTGGAGATACAGAGCGCAGAAAAGGCAAAAGTGGTCATGAAGGTTTTGAGATTACAGATCATCCGATTGAAATGACTCAAAAAATATTTTGTTCGTGGTATTTTAATGGTATGAAGAAATGATTAGTTTTCCGAAAAGGCAAGTCCACTGGTTTCAAAATTTTGAGAAAATTAAAATAACTAAAATTTTCAAATAATCGAATTATTTTAAAATTTAAAATAAAAAACTCGAAATTTTTGGATATTTCGGTTCTATTTATCGAGTTTAGTCCAATGACTTTAATTTGTGAAATCAGTTCAGGCGTTTTTGATAATTACATTTAGATTTATTTCATCACGACGTGTTAAAAGCGACTTTCAACACACATTTTGACCTTCATAGTTTTTATCAAACTTTGATGAATTTTTAAAATTGTCAAATCTTTTGACTCCTAATTGATACATTTCAGAAATCTATTTTCAATTTTAAAAATCGGTTATTTAAATTATTCGGAAACCAGTCGCTCGATTCTTTCAAAAACTGAATTGCAATTTTTGCACTTTTGGTTATGATTTTCGAAACGGCTAGACCTGTCTTTGCCGAAAACTAATCAGAACTTTCTTATTTATGGAAATAAAACATGCATGCCAAAATGATAAGAAATGCTGAAACGTAAAAATATGCAAAAATTTTCATTTTCGATCTTTTGCGATT